CTGTAGCATTCAGGACTTTGCATTCAAGGCATGAAGCCGAGAGGACATGCCCCTCTCAGAAAGCAGCCATGTCTGGAAATATGATCTATAATATTTATAATTTCTCCCACTGAGAATGGGAGAAGGTGACTGGAATCTTAATGCCAGCCTTAAAGGCAAAACAGGAAGCCCTTCGACCATCCAACATCTCCTAGAACTATGACCGCAGCTTTATTTAATGCTCCAAAAACCCAGTTTTATTGTTCTTTACATTGGCCAGTTTTTAGACTGCAAGGGCTTGCCATTTTAAAACCTGGCACAACTATCAACCCCAAAACTAAATAAGGAGATCTATGTGTTCATTGAAAGCACAGGCAATATTTTGAGGGTTGGGGATTACACATGACTTTTTTCCCCCCTCTTTTTGGAGTGGCCAGGCCAATCATGCAAAGTGAATAAAGCCAAGATTTTCTTTTGTATTTGTCTTTTTGTTGTTAATGTTGTTTTTAAACTGTGTGACGCTTGCTTTAGAGAATAGTCTACAACAATGTTTTTTCAACCTTGGCCCCTTTAAGATGTGTGGACTTCAACTCCCAGAATTCCCCAGCCACACATCTTAAAGGGGCCAAGGTTGAAAAACACTGCTCTACAGTTTAAAATGTTTCCCATCTCAATGTGGCAGGAAAGTAGGTCTCAGCTTCTGTGGTCAGAGGTGGCTTCCAAGGCCACGAAGCGGGCATTTAAAGACCGCTGACCATCCCCATGTTGCCTACCTGATTTACCCAAAAGCAAGCATGCCATTTTTGAACACTACCTGGTGCTCCTGTCAAGGATGAACGGATATATCCGCCAAAGCATCTAAGGTGGTGCCCTTTGGAGCAAGTTCTATGCCAACTTCAAGATCTGTTCTCCAAAGTTTTCAGCTGGCTGAACTTTGCATCCTTGCTGCTTTTATCCGGCCTCTCTTTTTTGGCTCTTCCCTTTTTTAAAAATTGGCTGCTACCAGCACTGATTTTGCTTGTTTGATTTAGGTGGAATTTTGGTAACTTGTTTTGCATTTTTCAGAAAGAGAAAAGTGCAAGTATACGATGAATTCAGTCAACTCCTAGATTCAGGTCTTCAGGGTTACAGCCTGATGCGATTAATAAATGAGAGCCAATGCCAACTACTTAAAGTGAAGTTTTGTTATGGGGAGTAGTTTAAGATAATGTATATGTGCAAACTATTTTTCTGCCAAGAATGCAAGCAAGCAAGAGATTGTCTTTCCTTTTTTACAATGAACGTTGTACTCTGACCATTATCCCTCCCATCAAATGTACCTGTATTAAAATTGCAGTATTACCCCACTATATAAAACATTCCTGCCTGTTTTATCATGGCCTCTTAGACATAAATTACACAGGACTGTAGACTAAATCAATGGAGCGGTAGACAGGCCAAGTACTAATACGCAAAATCCAAGTTGGATATGTGACAAACTGTAATAATAAAGCCTCATCATTCTTGTCCAAGGAGACAACCCGCCAGCTTACTCAGTCTGCCATGGCTTCTTCCAGGATCCCCCCATTCATTTCCTCCCTTCCAGCTTCCTATTTAACTTTTCCAATGGATCATCTCCATTTTGTGCCCAGGGAGACAGTACAGTTTTAACTGGGTATTCCCCTTCCCCACCCCATTAGGAGTTTGACACCCCTTCTTAACCTTCAGTACTCATTTGGGCTCCAATCACATCACTGCTGTATTCACCAACTAAGTTTTCTAACCCAGATGGTGATTGCGCAATCACCCCAGTTCACCGCGCTCTTGGAATGCAAACGACATAAATAGTTTTTATGCTCTTTCAGCAATTCTGCATGAGCAAAGACACCGTTATTTCAGCTTTACTCATGAAATATTGAGTGCAGCCCTTTGCTTTAGCAGGAGATCCAAAAACAACTCAAGCAACTCAGTTCCTAATAAAGGATAACACGACCACGGATGCTTTCCTTTCCCCTAAACTCCACGCTAATCCCAGCCTAGCTGAAACCAGATCAAGTCTGTAGCGAATGTGTTTTTTGTTTAAAGACGCCTATGCAAATCTGGTCCCTTCCAGATACTTTGGGACTGGGGAACACCAGGATGGTTAGAGTTGGCTTCTAACAGTGTCATGCTCCAAAAACGCTCACGGCAGCTTATGTTAGATAGAGAAAACAAAACAACCCTTACCTTTGCTTTTAATCTAAAGGACACAACACGAAAGGAAGCAGAAACAAGGAAGGAAGAGGAAAAACACGCATTCCAAAGGCCGATTTTGAAAACGGCAACGTTCTTAAAATAATTGGCTCGAAAGGTCAAAGAAAATACAGCAACAGACTTCTCTTTTGGTGGAGCTGATGAACTAGCCCTGGTCTGCATCTCCGTTGCTTCCTTTCATCTCAGATGGCATGGTTGTTTGTAGACTTTCCTAATGGCAGAAGAATGGCTTGACGTAATCCCATTTTTCAAGTCACCGAGACCCATTAGCCATGGACACACCTTGAGCCCTTTTTCCTCTGTGAAACTTGGTCTTTGGAACCACTTTCTGTCTCAGTCTCCTTTTCTTTGCCTATTACTTATTTAGGAGATTTATTCTGGAAACTCCATATTTTAGACCAGTGTTTCTCAACCTTGGCCGCTTTAAGTTGGGTGGACTTCAACTCCCAGAATTCCTCAGCCAGCCATGCTGGCTGGGGAATTCTGGGAG